ATTCATTTAAATATAGGTCAAAGAATGAAAATTAAAACGTGTTTCTGTCACTGCATTTTCATTTTAAAATTAACTTTTTCATTTGAATTATGATACAAATTTAGCGGGGCATTTTTTGAAAATGAAAAATCAAACGTAATTTAATAATAATAATAATAATAATAATAATGTAATTTTCTTCATTTTAATTTAGTCCAAGAATGTGCATTTTTTGATGTTGAAAACTAAAATTCAAATTAGTCATAATTTTATTTTTGAGTCAAATAATCCACCCATATTCTGAAAATTAAAAAGCATTTCTGTTAATGGATTTTAATTTTCAAATTAGCTTTATCATTTGAATTACTCACTGATCACTTCCATAGCTTTATGCTCAGGGGTAGAAATGGCAAAGAATTTCTTAACTTTTAACAGAGATAAGAAAAAAAACACCCATTAAATAATTACCAATGAATACATTTCCTTAACTATTTTGACAGCAAATAGAAACGAGTGTGTTTGGATGACAGGTTAGATTCTCTGCCCACAGACACACTCACACAAAAGTTCAACACAGGGAAATGGAGCCGTGTAGCAGCTGACAGGGGACGTGGTCTGTGAGGCAGCAGGTTTGGCAAGAGGGAAGCAAATCAATATAAGCAAAAAAAGAGGCAGAAGACGGGAAGCAGGCTCGGAAAGCAAGATGGGGGGCAGATATGTTCGACTCGGGAGCAGGCGCAACGACAGGGATCCACATCTTAGTGTACAGAAACACTCACACTGAGAGCCTGTGTTTAGAAAACGCCATACAGCCGGAATATGAGCAGACTGTTATTTTAAAAAATGTGTTTCCTTAAAGGCTTTATATGTGATTTTTTGATCCAGCAGATGTCGCCCTTGAGCTCCAGCATGAAACCAAAACAACTCGTGCTGCATTGTTGTGTTAGCATGCTAATGCTAGTGATCTTTATTATGCTGGTATCTTCACACTGCATGTAAATTTACCTGAAATGAGCGTGATCTAGAAACACAGTTAAGCAGTGAGTACAGTATGTTATTCTTCTTTTCTCTAGTCCCTCAATTAAACAACTTTTATACACGAGGGGAGGAGTCAGCCGGCCGTCCCGGCGATGTAAACAAAGTGAAGATAGGACTCTGAAAACTCTGAAAACATCACAGACAGTGGGACTCGGGTGTTACACCCATTGTAGACAGTCATGACTCACAGAGTTATTTTCAGAGGAGATACTTGATTTATATTTAAGTGTGAAAAATCACAGATTAAGACTTTAAGTGTTATAATCTGTGTTTTTAATGGAGCCTAATAATTACATTGTGTTTTATAATAAATTATTCTGTGTAGGGCTCATTAAGATTTCATATGAACAGATTTCTGTCGTTCAAACAACTCAAAACAATAAGTCAGGTTTTAGTCGGGCTCGGGGCCATAAATACAGTTCATGAGACGGGCCGGGCCGGGCTCGGAGAGAACGTGCACAGGTACCAATCGAGCTGGATTTGTGGGGCTCGATCTAAGCTTTACTTTGAATATAGGAGACTATTCTTTCAGACGCATACAAAAAGCAAACACAGGTAAAGATGTTAGTCATGAGAAGTTTTAATTATAAAGAACTTGATCTAAAAAAATCTAACTCACCTTTGTGGATTTGAGTTTCTTTTCATACTGTAGTTTTTCACTCTCCATCTCTGTCAGTCTGTACCGAAGTTCATTCATTTCAAGAATCAAATCCTGAAAGGAAACAAGACTTAATATCACAGAGTGGAAGTAAAAAAAAGCAACAGAAGTCATTTTTTAAATACTTTTTTCACATGGCTGCTGAGGATGTTTTTTTTAATTATGGAAGCTCTAACTTGTTTTTAAGTGCAGCACAAACACTAGCTATAAAACCTCTTCATACATATCAGAGGAAACTAAACTCCTAGGAGATTAGAAACTGTAAAGCAGCAGCAGTGAAAACACAAGTGGAAGCTGAAAGAAGAGAAGTGATTTCTGAGCTCTGAGGCGGAAAATGGACAGCAGCTTTTTTGTTCCAGTGGGGTGGAAGAGACGACCGCGTAGCTCCAACAATAACATGACGTGTTTGAAATCTTTCCAAGTATTCTGCACGGTTCATCTGGGAACAGCAATCTCCCCGGCTCTAGTAAACAACTGACTGACATCTTAATGTTTGTTAAAGACTTTGATCTGGGGGGAAGTACAATCCCATTAAGTCAAAATCCAATCAGCACTATAAAGAAGGCCTTTTCTCCATCAATACATTTTTAAACGTTGACATCATCCTGAGGTGCTAGAACAGCTGCTTTCAGGCCGACAGTCCCTCTCCCACACAGGTGTCAGACAACATGAATAAGGGGTGTGTGTGGGCAAGTGTGTGTGTGGCCAAGTGTGTGTATATAATGAGGTGAGAGAGAAAGGACAAAGAGGATCCCTGTCTTAAAAATTAGCTTTGCATACCTCACTGTCCCTAAATCTGTCGAAGTCAAGCCCGTCCTTCTCCATGTTGTTCAGGGTCAGCTTCAGGTTGGACACTTCAGAGATCAGCTCTAGCTTCTGGGTCTCCAGCGCCGTCCTGCACAGGAGCTCCTGCAAAGACAAATGAAGAAACATGCTGATGTTATATATGGGAAGGCAGGCGCGTCTCACCCATGGGTCACCGAAACACACACACACACACACACACACACACACACACACACACACCTGTTGCAGCATCTCCTCTGTGGCATTGAGTTTCTCCCTGTGCTCGTCCAGACACAAGTCCAGGTCTCGGATCTTCTCTCCCTGAGCTTCCACCTGGTCTGTAAGCACGCTCACCTGCGTAAAAAACAAGAAGTCCGTTTTTTACATGTTAGACAGATTTCATTTCTATCTACCATTCAAATATTTCACACATTTTGTAGGACGTGTCAGGTTATCTAAGCATTGATGGATGGGTTACCTGAAGAACCAAGGACTCCTTATCAGTCTCTATCCGGGAAAGCCTTTCCTGGTAGTGGTCACTCCCACTGAGGGAGATGTGCCCATTGGACTGCAGAGAGGGAGGAACAAGTTTTAGATAAAAAAGAATCATTTAAGGGAAATGTTGTTTGGCTTTTCAAAGACACAAGTAAGTAGTAAAGCAACGTTAATCAAGCCGATCTCAGATGTTTCTGTAACATAGTAATCATTTCAGATTCATTGCTTTACATCGCAGTATGATTGGCTACACTGCTCTGCACAAACAGCACCTTACATGGCTGAGCAGACTGATTCACACTGCTGTTCACAGAGGGACTTACAGCATTACACAAAAACTCTGGCTGCATTTCTCTGGCCTACAGCCCTTCTCTCTCCCAAACACAACTCTGGATCCCAAAAAAAGTCAGCTTCAGTTTCTCTCTATGCGCGGTAGCTGAGACTTTGACAACAAGAGCATTTCATTTTGTACTCCCTGGTGAACCCAGCAGATGGGGACAGTCATGTTGTAGCTCAGCAAGCGAGTATTCTGCTTGCACAAAAGGAATGTTTGCCTCCTCTCGTCTGCATTCACAAAGTTTAATGCAGCACATACCGTGCAGGCACAATCACAGCACGTTCTGTCCAAATATCGCAGACGAAACATCTTCCAAGGTTACATGATTAAATCAGACGTGGGAAGAGCCCTGATGTCTATTTCAAGAGGGAAATGAAGAGACGACCTCAAAGTAGCATTAAAGCTTTCCAAAGAATCAGTGTCAACAACCAGTATGGCAGAGCAGCAATGCAGAGAAAAGGAGGGTAACATGAGCCCTTTCCTTCTCGTCTTGAAGGTTGAGATAAACCACTTATTTGATATTGCCGGTGAACTGATCCAACCTGATGCTACACTATTTAGATCAGGGGTCCCCAAACTTTATTTCTTTGAAGGCCTCATAACTTGACTTTTCCCTGATGGGGGGGCCAGGGTCTGTATGTAACAGAAAATAACATGTGCTGGCATTACTACGAGTATTATTCAGGGGTGCAAACCATCAGGGATGAAAAAGGTGACATGGATCCAAACCTCCTAGGGGGGTCCGGGTGGCATGCTTCCCCCCCCCCCGGGAAGATTTAAAAAATAAATAAGAATAAAAAATAATCAACTCTAAAATGTGAATTTACAGACGATTTTAGCATTCAGACGGACTAAGACAAACATCATTTCTTGTCTATATCTATGTTCTGTTCTAACCGTTTGATAAAGCTTCAGTGAAACATGAAGAACACATGCTCCCAACCTTGAGTCACAGAAACGACCTATTTGGGATCCAAAACGGCGAATTTCACCGAAAGGTGACAAGTTTGCACCCCTGATAATTGTGGAGATGAAGTTCATCCCAGGAGATTGGTCCAGCTGAACTAACAGCTGAGCTAACAGTCCACTTTCCAGCTTTGATTGTTTGTCTACTCGCATTTGGCCTTGCGAGCTATCGTACTTGTGGCAGGATTCATAATGTGGGCGCAGATTGTATTTTTTTTAACACGGCCTCTCGACAGATCAGACAAACGGCCTTTTATTTGCAGTGAAAAAAAAAAAAGTTTTCTCTTCCCTAACCTTTTTGCCTTTTTATTGTATTTGTCTTGTTGAGTTTTCTAGCTGGCTCGCTTGCACCTGATCAGCCTCAGATGCTTGATCACCGTGTGACAACACGTCATATTCTGTGCGTGTGTGTAACAGTTACTAATAGTTAATAATGAGAAAAGTTCGGAGCTGAAGAACATTTTATTTTAAATGCTAAACTTTTATAGGCCGATATATATTACAATTTTTGCCTTTGGAATTGTTCTGAGGGCCGGGCCAAATGTGGGGAAGTGCCGTATCTGGCCCGCAGGCCGTAGTTTGGGGACCCCTGATTTAGATGAATCCAGAAAAAAAAACTTTATTGTACAAGTTTTACTTCTAGTTGGTACAAAGGTTGACATTGTAAAATCATTGCTCCAAAGTTTTCATTGGCATTTTACTAATCTGTTCATTGTCTTATTTCACAGATCTCAGAGCTTCATAAAGCATGCACGTGTCTTTCCCATCATGTGAGGTCTCTTACCAGGTGACCGTGGAGCCACTCCACTAGACTGTCAGCTGTGGAGTCGGGGATCTGGCAGCGGAGACTCTCCCTTTCCTCTGTGTCCATCAACTCCAGGACGCTCCTCAGGTCCTCCAGAAGGTGCAGCGCCCGCAGGCTGCCCATGAAGGGAGAGGTAGGTGATTGGCAGTCAAATAGTCCATTAGAGTAGTCTAGAGCCTTGGAGCCTGGGACAAAGAATCCAGACAGAACAGAGAGAAAGAAATTAAAAAGGAGCTCGAATCCAAAGAAAGACTTCTTCAAACTATTTCTCGTAATGGAAAGGAAAGACAAGAACAATTTTTTTGTCTCAGGTTCTGAAGTGATAAAAAGATTATAGCAATAACTTGGATCATACAAGGGAGAGGTGGTTATAACTTTTGCTTTACTTCTATTAATTTATTTACTAAAAGGCAGTCATTTTTTATCATGGCACTGATATTTGATCAATCTTCAGTCCTGTGTAGTTTTAAAAGATGCGAGAGCAAATTGGTATCTATAAAAATAAGCAACTCTGGTGAACAGGGCTGTCAGTCACCATACCAGAACTTCAAACTTTGATACGATACCGGTTAGAATCAAACAATATCCATAACTCTTTCAAAACCACAGCAAGAAAAAGCAGAAGTCCTGGTAAGGCAACTAATATTTAGAAATGTCTCATTTCAATTACCAAAGTCTTTCAAGCAAATGTTTGCAAACGGTCTTAATTGCAAAAAATACATTGGCAAATGTTCTGAACAAACATGCTGCCAATGCATGTTTGTAATTAGACAGCATATCGCTCGCATCACCTCCTCTGCTCCTTCTGTTAGTCAGAGACATGAACATCATTTTTGCACGTTTATTAGACAACAGAAAGGTCACAACCTGTGACGCTGCTGCTCTCTGTCTTTCACTTGCGGCAGATTTGGTTTAAGTTATAACTGAAGATCTGTCGTTTGTTTTAAAGCTTCGGGACTTTTCAATACTTTTGATCAATAAAATAATAGCGCTTGTAACGTCTGAAAACACATCATGGGATCGAAAAGTAATATGAGTGATATCAAAAGCAATGCTTGACCGTCTCTAACACGCATGGAACTTCAGGCTGCGGGATCTTAAACAGCAGCTATGTCACAGAGGATAACACCATTTAACCTGGAAGAGACTGCTTCTTTAGGTTTTTCAACACAGCTGAAATAAAGGAATCACAATTACATCTAGTCGAAGCATTTTAAGTCATGAAAGGTGGATCACTTTACCTGCTATGATGCCATCCATTTGCTCGAGTGCAGCTGCCAACATGTCGCTGGCATCAGACATCATCTTCAGTCGCTGATAAAAAACCTGGAACGAGCAAAGAAACCATTTAAATAAAGAAGGCTACTCAAACGTTTATTGTATTTAAGCCATTATGAATGCAAATATGTTTTGGCTCTTCTACAATTCACTGAGCAGACTCTTTTCTCCAAAGCGACGTACATCAGAGAGTAAGAACAACACAAGCAAGGATCTAGAAAAAAGGGAACAATGTCAGTAAGAGCAAACGATCAGCTTTGAGTCTGATTGGACACACAGGTGCTGACAGGAAGTGACCAGAGGCAAAGCACAACATTGAGGGCAGTTCTTGAGAGCTCTAATCAGTATAGAAACCATCTTATAAGTCGTCCTTATCAAACAAAAACCATCGTCATTACCATCATCATCATCAATAATATGGAGACCATCATCATTAAGTTAGTAGGTATTCATGAAAGAGTAAAAAAGTAAAAAAGAAATCATGATCAATACATCCATGATCATTGAGACTAATAACCTCTCAGCTCTTGGTATTGTAGTTTAGTCTATGGAATAACAAATAAAGAGTGCAGCTGCTCTGAATACAAGATAAGAAGAGTAGGACAAGGACAGCAGAAACAGTGGTTTTTAGCTTCCTAGGCTAAAATAAGAGCAGTAATGTGGGCTTGCTAAGCATGCGATGAAAAAGGTTTCCACCCAGGAAGTAGACTATAACTGCAGAACAACCTCAACAACCCCTGTATGGCTAACAAAGGCTAGTGCAGGCCTGGTTAGATATGATGATAACCTGTGGTCTGTGGCAGCTAAAACAACAAATGATGTGTTCTCTGTTAAGTTGTTCTTTCTTGAGCTGTATGCTGCAGAGTGAGACTATCTCATAACTCATTTCAGAATATCAATAAGGCCATTTACCTAGAAATATTTTCACAATTACAGATCCAGCCAATAGGACACAGGAGGCTCTGTTTGGAGAGGAATGAAGATTCATTTCAGTGTGCCAGTACTGGACATCGGCCAAAGCAGCACAACAGTCTCTTTATCTTCAAACATTTAATCAAAAGGCTCTGCTGTATATCCATGCATGCTGACAAAACGCATGCAAAGGCACTCATCTAGACACACGCGCACACCCCTTCCTTAAATTGGCTGTCTCACATCCTGGGAGTGTCCTTCACTGGGACATCATTTTCAAACTTTATGGAAACCACCCACAGACCTCCTCGCACTGTTATTTGAGGATTCCTGTGGTCACGCTTTCCATTATGTGTAAAACAAGAGTGTGCACTGAAACATGAGAAACATCACAATAAACAGAAAAGTTGAATGGAGATGGGAAGAATCAGCTCCATTAGTAAACTGCTGAGGTGTTCACTACAAAAAAGAACTGACTCTGATGGAAACGCTCCTCTCGGGCTACATACAGTCACACTGCATACTGTCCCACTTCTTGCATGTCTAAAAGCAGACAAACACCATCACAGTTTCAAAAAGTCAGAGCAGAAAACAACCTCTAATGGGGCTGAACAATAAACATGTGACAAAAACCAAGCGTATTATTAAATAGTATTATAATATTGTAAAGGTGCTGGTGTAGAGATGCACGTGTTTAGGGTGCTGGTTAATCTCAGTTGGTAGTGACTTTCTGTTTTTCTGTTTTTCTATTGGCTGATGGTCTTGGTTAATCTGTTCCCATTATTTTTGTTGTTGTTTTGTCTAAAAACTTAATTTGTTTTGGCCAACAAGTCCAACATCACACACTGATTGATGAAAACATTTTGATTTTTCTGTGAATAATGCACAAAAATAAGAAGGTGTAGGAGCAGAAAAGTTTTGAACTTCTTCCTATCTCTTTTGAACATGAACTTTATTATTTGAGTTTTTTATTTGTTGCTATGGATCCTGAGGATCCAGTTTGTTCTTTCGTTATGTTTTTTTCCTTTTTATTTTGTGTTTGTTTTATCTTAACATGTTCACTAAATTGACTAATAAAAAAATAAAATAAGTTGCCCCATATACTCAAATCTATGTGACAGTTTTACTCTTTTTCAGACTTACATTACTTATTTTAAAATACTGGTATAAAAGACTTTAAATACATTCTTTGAGATCGGAAATAAAAATGGCTATCAATAACAAACTCTGTACACTTCACAACACAGACTGAGTTTTGATGACTATCACTGTGTGTAGACTGAAGGCCTGCAGGGTATCCCCCTCCAAAACCTGAGTCAGCTCTTCTTTCACAGCAGCAAGGCAAATCTGGGTAAGGTTAACACATGGCTTTCAACAAACACTCTCCAAACACACCCTGCCAAGACCAGACATGCTGCTCAGGAATCGTCTGTCCTCGTGTCAGTCAGAGCTGAACAAAGTGTAAAGACGCTGTCCGAGCACTTCCACCATGGCTTCTACCTGGATTCAGACCTGAGAACAAAGAATGCCTAATTACAGAGAAGTTCCCCTTGGTCCACAAGTCCTGGGATGCCCCCATGGTGTGTTAGTCAAACGTAAACACAACGAGTGGGTAGTCTGGAGAGCAGGAAGGATGACTGACTTACTATGTCGTCAGAGTGTTTTTAGGATAAAACAAATGCTAATCAATCAACTGGATAAATATATTTTGAATGTTTCTGAAAGTAGTGATAAAAAAATCCTTACTTTGACTTCCAAAGTCCAGAAATGCAAAATTCTATTCATTGGACAAAGAGCAGCATTTCTCACATAAGTGAAGCTTGTGCTGGTGCCCTATTGTCTGATTTCAGTCACAATACTTGATTAACCTTTTTAAATCTATTAATTTTTGTTGAATTTTACTCCCATGCAGGACATTTCCAAACTTGTATTTGCTCTGATTTGTACAATAAATCTCAGTAAGCTTACTATCAGGAGATATCGAAAACAATCTCCAACAACAAGCAAGCATCACTCTCAAAAAAAAAACAAAGTCTCCCTGTCTGCTCCTCCATACCACTACTTATACCAACCATGAGACACACAGAGGGGGCTATTGTTCAGGTTAGGGGGGTATCTTTACTGAGAGGCATGAGAAGACAAAGACAGGGGGAAAGAAACTGCAATGCAATGCTACAGTACACATGGCAACAACACCTGCCCACGCAAAGAGCTTAAAAAATGAATAAATACAAATAGAAGCAGTCTTGCCCTGCGGTTATAACAGCCGTGTAATTCATGGAAACAGGCAGAGAATAATGACAACAAGAGGGAGAGTGGATCATATAATGGCTTTTTCAAACCCTTCAGGCAGGGGGAACCATCGCAAGCTCACTGGACAGAGAGAGAAAACTCAAAGTCTCTCTAGGATAGAAAAAATGCAGTAACTCCCTCTGTTCCACTCCTGTTACACACAGGAAGTGGAAAAATATATAAGAAGCCATTGGGCCACTTGTCCCTAAGGGGAGAAAGGGTTTTACAGAAACCATGCAGCTGGCTTTTACAGCTTGTGTTGAGACAAGATGCACTTGTGGTAGAAAAAAAGAAGAAGCCTGGGGAGAGAGGAATTTACAATGCGGGCATAATAACTCATACAGCAACAGCAGTTTACTTCACTTGCACGTTGACCAAATCTGTGGACCTAAATGTATGCATCAAAGTCTCACTGGATAACGACACTTTCCATGTTTTGAGTCACGCAGGCCTCGACTCAGCTCTACCTTCCACAGTGTTTCCATGAGAAAAGCTTCAGTCTGGCAGGCACATCTTTCAAAATGAGTTTTATTGAGTTTTCTTGGATGAATGTGCACATTGCAATTAGATTAGCACAACAAGCACATTTCCAAAACATCCATAGTAGGTAGATACAGAAATGAGTGTGAAGATTACTGGTGTAGGGTAAGAACGTACCAAAACCCCCACACTCGAACTGTAAAACAAAAGAAACCAATAAAATAATAAGAGTACAAAAACAAACAAACATGAGGACAACAAGCATACAGACAATAGACAGGACAAGAGATAAAGAGACACACAGACTTAACAGACCATCTGACAGAATATCTGATCTGGCACATCTTGCCGTGTTTTACTTCAAACCCTGATGCTATATTCATGGTAACTAGTTTACCTTTTTCTATAGGCATCGTATAAGTCTATTTCAGTTCTTATTAATGCCTACTACTGCTGTAACTGATTCTTTATTATGTTATGAGCAAACTGTCTGACTGTGATTTTATTTCTTTGCAGAACTAACCATCATTGTCTTAAAGCTTGTGGGTGCAAGAAGTTGAGCGTTGCATTAAGAGTGGTGTGTTTGCTGATTCACTGGGTGTAGACACAGACGAGGCATTCACCCGCAGCCTGCAGGGCGCTGCTCAGGAATAACCTGCAGCTATTTCTGCAAGCAGGATACATCACCACTCATTTTACACCGCCAAACAACAAGCCGTATGAAGATGAAATGTGTGTGAGCCTTTTTCTTTATCTTTGACTAAACCCACAAGACATCAGCGGGTGATGTAGTAAATCAACCACAGACTGTAAATATTAAAGGTATCAAGTATCAACGTACTAAACAAAAGACGGAAACTGGATTTGGAATTTAAGATCTTCCATTTGATACCTGATAGCTCTGAGATGTTTTCAGGTAAAGATCATGGCAGCATTTGTATTTATGTTGGACGGCTGCACACATTCTTTTTATATTACTCACAGCTGCTCGTACCTCAACTTCACCTCTATAGGAGTTTACTTGTTCCACATTTTGCAAAACACACACGTGGTACTGAGGATAGGTCATGTAAATCAAAACAGCTGAAGGTTTACACACAATTGCCTTTTCAGGAAAGCTCCATATAAGCACAACAAAGAAGTCGATTGGCTGCAGTTTCTCCAGCCAACTTCAACATTTTTTCCAGGACTCCTGAGTAGTTTCTTTTTGTCTGCAGTTCAGAGCAGACAAAAAGGGAAACGAAGGACTTCTGACCAATTTCCCTTTGAAGGAGCTTTATCCCAGACATGTCATTTATTATTACTCTTTAATTTATCACAACTAAAGTGCCTCATGAAGTCTGGCAAAGCAGAGGTAGGAGTAACACAACTTCCTAAACTGTGGTGTGATGTGGCTGAATTACAGCCATTATTACCTGAGAGCATCTGAGAAGGAAGAGCAAACAGTTTAAAGAGGTCGGCTGAGGGCCAATACACCATCTGATCAAATGTCAAAAAATTCCCAGACTAAAAAACTCTGGACAATCTCGTTAAAGTTCACCTAGGATAACATATACTGTCATTTACAACTCTGTTTCTGCACATTTACATTTAATCTTTCATATTCAAGACGAGTAATGTTTAGTTAAATCCTGGTTGTATAGATTTAGATTTACTAACATTGTGTTTTTTGCTCATATTGTGTGTTTGGACAACCTGCTGCTGTAAGGACACAATTTCCCAGTTTGGGATCAATAAAGTAATTCTATTCTATTCTATTCTATTCTATTCTATTCTGTTCTATTCTATTCTATTCTATTCTATTCTATTCTATTCTATTCTATTCTATTCTATTCTATTCTGTTCTATTCTATTCTATTCTATTCTATTCTATTCTGTTCTGTTTTCTTTAAATCACAGTAAATCTCAACTTTATCACCATTAATATAGAACAACTATAGTCTCACTTCCAGACAAACTCAAAGGGGAACGACCGAAGACAAAAAAAAGGTGGCCTCAGGCACGGTGTGTTTCTTGCCGTAAAGTGTTACCGTGGTTACCACAGAGTCTGGAGATGTGGCAAAGTCATAAACTAAAGTTAGACCGACTTTCTCACGTCTTCCCCCCCACACTACTGTGAACATAGGCTAATGTTGTCGCTTTAGCTTTAAAGACTGATGGTACACGAAACGGTACCCAAACCGTTAATACAAATTCACTAAGAAGGGAATATAAAAAAATAATGTGAGGACTTTAACAGACCGTGAACATTCATCAGACACAGTGGAAACTTGTTTCGACTACAATTTGTTAACCCCTGAACACAACCAAGCCAACGGAGAAAATAAATCACGGGCCAAAAACAACCGACTTCCTTACCGTTACCGAATCTCCTCTCGACGAGAGTTGGTAAGTTTCCTGTATTTATAATAAAAATTCCAACGGTTATGTTCCTAAACGTCTCCGTGCCCACCAGTGCTACCCCCGGCTGTCCGTCCACATCGCTACGCCATGATGTTAAAGTGACGAGATTGTTGGAAAAGTTAGGACGTCACGGCTGGAAAATCCCGCCCTGCTCCTCCTGGGAAGCAGGAGTCCTGATGTGTTCAGGTAACGTGTGGACGGTAGGAATTCAGAGACACATTCGGGGTTAACACTAATGAACACGTTTTCAATTGAACAGATTATTTGATAACGATTAACTTTAATGCGTTAAGTTTACATGTAAAAGCTAAAGCAAATCAGCCGTTGTTTCTGGGGCAACAGTTGAAGACTGTATAAGTATTTGGGGTCAAGATGTTGCATATCTTTAATGATGATTGAACGCAGCATTCCGTGATTCACATTTACAGACGTACAGGTGACATCAGGTGGTCAGTGTGTGTCATTAGTGAAAGAAGGATCATT